AAGGCCGTGGTCTAGGCAACACGGGGTTTTCCTCCGTGGCGTCCCAACAATTACTCCATTCACACAGAAGAAGGCAATGGCAAACCCCTTCTGGATCATCTGCCAAGAACGTATATGAACAGGTCCCAGTCCGAGAAAAGGATGGAAGGATCCTGTTCATATGGACCTGTCGTCAGACAGAACACCAAATAAAAAAAAATGAAGTAGTTAACAATGATATAACTTGATAATTACTACAGTCAATTTTGTTGCCCTTCTTGTAAATTGGTAGACTTCTTCCACAGCTTATGCAATTCTTCCTTATTCCAAATACAGTTAAAGAGTTTCTGGATCTCAGAATATAATGTTTCATCTCTTCCTTGAATCAGTTCTGCCAGAATTTGATCGCTACATGGCAGTTTTTATCTTTTAACTTTCCAATAGCAATTTCAACCTCAAGAAAGGTACTAATGGATCAGCTCTGTGTGTTTCTGTCTGCCAACATGATTGGCCCTATGTATGTTCAATAACTGAGAGAAGTAATTCTTCCACGTGTTCAAAATGTTGTGGGAATCTGCAAGCAGATCACTATTCTCATCCTTTATCAAGTTACTTCTAGGTTTGTAACACTTCTTAAATCCATTTATATCTCTTAAACATTTTTCAGGAGAAAAATTCACTATAGTTAGACTAACCACATACATGATGAACGTCTTCAGATTCTGAGAATGATCTATGTTGGATCTTGAAAGTTATTCCGTATTTCGGCAAAAATTTCAGATGTTGTCTTCGGTGTGAATAACACATGGTTGGGTGTTTTGAAGCCGTATATAGAACAGGCGGTACATGACAAGTTGAATGTGATGAATCTGATAGGCAGAACAGAAGAGTAGGCTGTTATCCAATTGGTGATGAGCACATGATTGAGGAAAAGAGGTGATGAAAAGTTATATAAAGACACGTGGTAATGAGAAAAAGCGATACAAGCAATTTTGGTGACCATGAGACTAAATTCCGGAAATGCTTGCTACTTCTCAGTCCAAGATATTTTGTCTTCCCGTCTGATTTCTAAGAACTTGAAAATTAAAGTATACAAAACAATAATCTTGCCCGCTGTTTTGTATGGGTGCGAAACATGGTCTCTCACTCAGGGAGGAACACAGATTGCAGGTGCTTGAGAATCGGGTGTTGAGGAGGATATTTGGGCCTAAGAGGGAAGATGATGGGGCGTGGAGAAAACTGCAGTATTGTGTGGGTGATTAAGTCGAGAAGAGTGAGATGGGCGGGACATGTAGCGCGCATGGATGGGACAAGAGGTGTGCACCGGGTACTGGTTGGGAAACCTGAAGAGAAGAGACCTCTAGGGAGACCTAGACGTAGATGGGAGGATAATCTCAGGCGGGATCTATGGGAGATAGGAGTTGAAGGAAACTGGACTTTGTTGGCCCAGGACAGGGTCCGATGGAGGGCTTTGGTTAATTCGGTGATGAACCTTCGGGTTCAGTAAGCCATCTGGTTGGTT